TTCCATCGGGGTTAGCTGGTTACGTTTATGGTTTATTGAATACGGGTACGGTAATTCTGTTTTCCTGTCTTTCGAAACAAAATCTTCGAGGGAATGAATCCATATAGTGTATCCAAAAGACCTGTTCTTACGGCATCGGGGATTATAACCTCACTTGCCACCATGGTGCCCCAGGCATATAAAGATCGCGACACCAGAGCGAAGCCACATATAATCGATCACCTCGGCATCGGCCGATACATTCATGCGCTCAGCCACTTCAAAGACATGTCCAGGAACTGAGCAGCATTCTAATCCGAGCGTCTGGAACATAGGCATGCTAGAATCCACTTGTGGGATAATTGTAGAGGATCTTGAAAGTTGTAGCCCCGTAGGCCCTATGTACTTTGTTTTCAGGTTTCGGGGATTCGGCGCTTCATGCTTCTATAGTGATATGACCTTGAGCTTACAATGGCAAACATAGGATGGAATTTCGCTCGATCTGCAAGTACCAGCATGCCAGGTCTGAAAAGCTAACTGGGACGCACAATCATGAACGACACGATTTTTCATCATCTCCATCGCAGAGTGAATTGCAAGGTATATTTAAAAGTCACGTGCTTCGACAAGAACCCCGGGTGGGATCCCACCGCCAGGGCTTTAATCCTCCTCATGAGGTCTTCACATAAAAAGTTTTGACAATACCGAGGGTTCAAACATCTGTTCTCGAAGCCCCGGTAATCAAATACGAGATGCTCAAAGTAATGGTCTTTCGGGCGTACAGCCCACCTGCATTGATGGGCCGACAGTGCAAGATTAGCCAGTTTGTCATAAGCCGATCTGAAGACCATGTACATGGCCTCCATCTCATCACTATCAGCTGCACTGAACAGTCGCCTTAACCGCACTTAACTACAAAAGCTGTCGATATCAAAAAAAAACTTCGAATGCGAGGCTTTGAGTAAAACCCTAAGGTTTTTTGGGTTTGGGGGGTTAGGGTTTTGGATTTGGGGCTCGGGGTTCTGGTTTCAGGCTTAGGATTTAAACCCCTAAACTCTAGACCTAAACTTAAACCCCTTAAACCCAAAACCAGCCAAGCTGCCCATTGCGAAGCATCAGCTCCTCCATCCGGGCGAGCGCGAGGCAGACTGCCGCTCGCAACCTTATAGTAGGTTTAGGCTTATTTTGTTCTAGGACATTCTCTCTTTCTCTCGCTCTCTCTCTCTCTCTCTTCCTGCTCGCGTGCACACACATACAGAACAGCACGCTCGGACGCATAAATGCAGTCAAGGTTTCTGTACGAATTCGCTGTCAGGAAATCGCAGATGCAATGCCCGCATATAAGCAGCCATCCACATAAGAAAATACCGAGCCGCTGAAGCATTCAAGATCTTTTGCGAGATTGACCGATACTCTTTCGCATTGGGTTTCAGGGTGGTGACAGTAAAAAGCCGACGGCGAGCCCGGTCCGGCACACCTGGGCTTAAAAATTGGTCGGGTTAGTCGCGATATATGTTTTTGTAAGTCTCATTGCTTATGATCAAGTGCATCTGGGGCTCTCTGGGACTCGCTCCAGGCCCTGTAGTCCTCGAACAATTCGCCCAGGTTTTGCTCCCGCTGAGGGCCATCCGAAAGGTCACACAAAAGTGAAACAGCAATATCTGGAATGAGTGCGAGGGCGATGAGGTGCATGGAATCTGGAAGGATGCCTTGGGTGATGTTTGCAACAGTATATATAAGAAAATCTTGATCGATTCGAGCATGCAGAAGCCACGCAAGCAAAACTTAAGGTGCAGCTAAGTAGGCGCCACGGGTTCGTTCCATCCGACGATGCCCGTCAACGGGGTCTCGCCGTGCAGCTCGGTAAAGGCTGCAGCATCAGAGATGAGCCTTATTTCTAGACGAATGAGACTGCAAATTGTTATGCAGCTATCAGAAAAATATTTAGATGAGCCATGAAGCGTTTCTCTGTGTTTCGCATTTCGTCCAAAACTTGTATATAAAAGCTCTGCGTCATTTGGAGCTTCGGCATCTCCGTGCACATATGTCCACTGTAAGGCCTCCAGTGTTTCGTTTTTTAGGACCCCAATCTGTAAAGACACTCGGTCCGTGATGCAGATAATGCAGATAAGATTATGCAATCCAAGGAGCCGAGCAAAAACAACAGACCAGTTTTCTGCTGTAATCGCCTCGATGCGGTGGCTTGGCCAATTGTGATTGGGACCGGGTTTTGGGATTGTTAAGTATGTAATTGAAATCGGAAGTAGTTTCAAGTTCAACTTATGTAATAGGGATTTGTTGAAACCGGCACGATGGATCGTATATGCTTCAGAGGAACGTTGCAAACTGAACAGCTTTTTGACAAACTCGAGGTCTGCTTGGACCCCGTCAAAGATGCATATGAAGTTGCCGGCGATCGGCTTCCCAGCAAGTCTTGCTCTATGCGGCATGTAAGTCGAAGAAAACGGTGTACCAAATGGATCGGAAAAGGGGTAAACCCCTTCTCCTGAGATAACAACACGATGTAGATGGACTGTGAATCACACTCGCTCTAAGTTAACAGAAACTTCAACTTTATATGATGCAGCTAGGCTCCGACACAGTTGAACGACCATTTTAGCGCTTCGAGGATTGCATAGCGGCAGTTGCCTCCGTGGTAAGCCATATTCATGCAGCTGATCCTCGATTCGGACATGACGTGAAGGGAAAAGGTCGATAAGGAATTTAGAATTTAGACCCACTACATATGTGCAATCGAACCGCAGGAACCGAGACTCCATTGTGGACGACGGCCCCAATGGAGCCAAGAGCGCAAAGCATTCGAAGAATTGATGTCCTGAACAAATCAAGACTAGTTTGCCGAACTAAAGTGATATATGAATGACTGCCGTGGGGCTCGTCGATTCTGCTCCGTCTCCATATAATCGTAATGGAATACAGAATCGAAGGTCGGCCGCCTCGGATAGCTTTCTCAGATAGTTTTTACATAACATAAGCTAGTAACCATTCATCGGCAAACCCTAAGCTCCTAAACTAAACCCTAAATCTTTAATAGTTGCACCCACGACATTAAATTGCTACAAAGTAAGGCCTGGAGAAGCGGGTGGTTCCGAAACCAAGCTGTGCTGGAGACCTCCTTCCAGTACATCAGGCGATCCGACTCCTTGCATGCACATGGGAGGATTGGAATTAAGTGCCCAGAAACCCATAAACCTTAATTCATCCCTAAGTCTGTCTAATAACCCGATACCACTTCGACTTAAATCCTAAATAGCTAAGCAATTAACTTAGACTAAAACCCCCACTGCTACCAAATGCTCACAAACGTGTGTAGGCCTGCACATGCCGACATACATGCACACACACACACATATATATATATATAGATATAGATATAGATATAGATATACACACACA